CCCCCCCTCCTTCCTTTACACTGGGCTGTCTTTAGGAAGGACACACGGGCCTTATTGGTGTGACACAATCCACACTCAAGGCCCCCCCTCTCTCCCTCCATTACACTGAGCTGTTTTTAGGAAAGACACACGGGCCTTCTCTGGGTGTGGTGGTGTCTTTGGAGGAGAGGGGCGTTTAGATTCACTCTTTAGATTTTAATTGTTAACCACATCTCCAGTAGAACACACATTTGTAGATAAATTAAGGAATGGTGTTTTGATCAAGTAAAGTTGATAACTACCCTTATTAGATTATAGTTCTTAAGATTATCCCTTTATGGTGTGTAACTACTGGTATTTAATACTTTTGCTGTTTTATTTCAAAAGTTCTGCTCATTGATCGTATATACACGCGATTGATAATGTGAGAATGAAGTTATATTTACACAGATATATGGAGAAAGCAATGTGGATATATATAATCATCTGTAGCATCATAGAACATATTCACCGATATATACTTATCGGTGTCCCCCGATACAACTGTGTATCAAGCATTTTCGTTCTGATAACTAACCTTTGGTCTTCTTTTTTTTATTACCAATGTTTTTAGAATTGTAGTTTACAAAGCGTTCTAAAAACATTTTGGATTAAACTTTAGTAGCAATAGTGGGATAAAAATGAAAATGTCTATCATGATATGTGCCGCCTTGAGCGGGTTCCTCTTTGGATACGACACCAGCGTCATCAACGGTGCCCTGTTTCAGATGAAGGATCACTTTGGGTTTAATGAACACTCCTGGCAGTACGGCTTCATTGTTTCGATTGCCATTATTGGCTGTTTTGTGGGTTCCTTCACCGGCGGCATCATTTCCACATATTGGGGACGACGGCCCAGCATTGCGATCGCCGACGTCTTTTTCATTACCGGTTCCATTATTATGGCTTTTGCACCAAGTGTTACGGTTCTCCTTCTTGGGCGCGTGATGGTGGGCTTAGCCATCGGCGTTTGCAGCGTGATTACTCCGGTTTACCTAGCCGAAGTCACTCCTCCGGGTAACCGAGGGTCTATTATCGTCCTTAATAACATTTTTTTAACAGGTGGACAATTTGTTGCCGCCTCTTTCGCCGCAGTTATGGTGGTTTACACTTCCAACAACGTAGGTTGGCGTATTGCGGTTGGCATTGGTGCCCTTCCCGCGATCCTCCAGATTGCATGTCTCATCCACTTTCTCCCTGAAAGCCCACGCTGGCTCGCGTTTAGAGGCCATGTTGAGGCTGCCAGGCTCGTTGCTGAGAGGTGCAGTGTTGATTTTGATGATACTTATACTCAGAAATCAAACACCGTCCACTTAAATTATTGCGAGCTCTTCAAAAAAGATATCCGTTTTCGCCTGATTCTGAGCTGCACTCTTCAGATCATTCAGCAGTTTTCCGGCATTAACACCATCATGTACTATAGTTCTGTTATCCTTTACGATGCCGGTTTCCAGGACCCTAAAATGCCCGTAATCTTGTCCATCCCGCTCGCCTTTTTGAACGCCCTTTTTACATGCGTTGCGGTCCTGACGGTGGACAAGGTGGGTCGGCGCTTCCTGCTGATTGTCTCCTGCATCGGCTGCATCATCGCCACCGCGGCGGCGTCCGCCTTTGGGTTTATGCTCAACTCCGTCATTCCGTATTCCGTCGGTGGGTGGTTGTTTTTGTTTATTTTGTCGATTTTTCTCGCGTTTTACGCGCCCGGGATTGGTTGCATCCCGTGGGTGATGATGGGGGAGATCTTCCCGATTCATCTTCGCACCTCCGCGTCTTCCATCGCCACCATGGCGAACTGGGGCTCCAACGTGGTCGTCTCCCAGGCCTTTCCGGTTCTCATGGGTTCCATTGGTATGGGTGGTATTTTTGCTATTATTGTCGGGCTTTTGAGTTTGGGCCTTGCCTTCATTTGGTTTTATGTGTTGGAGACGAATGGTCTCTCGCTGAGAGAGGTGGATAGACTATTCCGCAAACATGCCAACCTGCCAGTTGACGAGGAGGAGGATGAAATGGCGATCTCTAACAACTCTCCTTTGAATTATGTGGGGAACTCTTCACCTATCTATATCATCCCTGTGAATCTACAGAATAGGTCTAAATAATCTGGTCCTTGATGGAAACGCATACGCTAACCTGATTCTGAGGTACCAAATCGTAGACTCTGATAAATACTTTGAGTGGCGCCGATATTACGTTGTGCGTGGTGTATTTTAGGTGAAGAAATGTCTTTTATTGGATGAATACGCAGCTCAGATTAAACTAGTCACCGAATTATTTACTGATGATAATTAGTGAAATATCTTTGTAAGTGAAAAATTAACATTTTGAATAAATTTGCTCTTTTATCTGTCTTGGCAAAATTTTGGGGTTGAGCTGAAAAAAAGAATTAGGGGAAAAATATATATCACCTGCAGGTTTGGCGATTTCCTACTTTTGCAATTAAATGTGCCATCTCTCAACTAAAATTAAATGGCCAAGTTAGTGTTTTATACAAGTATCTTCTTTTATAAAGGTTAAATTATTTTTTTTGATATTTTTTAATTATGTGATCGAATGCATATGTGTATATTGATTTAGATATATGGATTGCGCGTCTTTGAGCTATATTTAGGCTTAAAACAGTCCTTATTTGGTTTCCCCTTCTTACCCATCATCCTGACAGCATGTAGCAGTTAGTCTAGGAAATTATGACACTTATTATAACCTTTTAGAATATTGTCATAAAATTAGCAACCTAATAAATCCCTTAACTTTTCCTTACATTTCAGCAATTTAAGGGTCATCTTTTTCCTTAAAGATTGTAACGAAACTATCTATTTAGGGTGATTGAATGCGTATTTTAAAACCAACTAACTACTGTGACCTTTGTGAAGGATATTGTACGATGGTGCAAGACTTGAAGCAACTTTGGGTTATTGTTTTCTGGTACATGTTACAATAGAGAGCAAATTTTTCTTATATTTTAATGGTGGCGCTTTTGTTTTCTCCACCTAGCATTCACTGAATGATAAAGTGGAGTTTTTTTTTACTCAGAGTAGTCTCATCGACATGTTTGCATGGCGCGTGATATGTTCATATCTGTTTCCTACATCACTAATCAACATCCAAAGAATTTTTTTTTGATAAAATAGAATTTTTTATCATATTATCTACGAATGAAAAAATACTTTACACTTTTAATTTTTGTTACCGTAAATATAGGAAAATTACCTTTTATTGAGCTAATTTTATTGCAGAGTGCCTCAACTCCATATGAAACCAATTTGATCCCAGTCGTTTATTTACTTTTATATGCGACCGGTTGGGAAAAAGCTTAAAGCCTTGTTGTGATCTATTTTACATTTATATATTTTGCTTCTAAGTCCTTATTTAGTTGCAAACGGGCTCATTTAAAAAAAAAAATCCCACTGTAAAGGCTATAAACAATCTATGAAACAGATTTGCATCCCATATCCCCGTCACGCAATGTTCCTCTTTCCGTATTCGATCTTTATGTCGCTGTCATTTCATGTTAATTCTGTCTTTTTCAAATCATTTCTTCACTCACACAAAGCGAAACCTACCCCCTACCCTAAGGAGAGAGAAATTATACAACCTAGGCTCTCTAATTCTCTTCTTTTTTTTTTTATCTCATGTGATGGCGTACTCTTCTTTTAGCGATTTAATTCCACGTCTTTCTCCTTGCGGGATCCCCGCCATTGGCATTGGAACTTATCAACTTCACGCCGAGAATTGTGTGCAGTCCGTTTCGAGCGGGATACAGTGCGGCTTTCGTCTAATCGACACCGCGGCGGGCTATAAAAATGAGGCGCTTGTCGGCGAGGGGATTCGAAAGAGTGGAATTGATCGCTCTGATCTTTTTGTCGTCGTTAAAATCCTCTTGAGAGCGATGGGAAGCAAAGATTTAGTGAGGGAAAGCATTCGTGAGAGTATACAAAAACTCCAAATTGGCTACGCCGATTGCGTTATTATGCACTGGCCGAGCGGCGCGGGAATCAAGCCGGAAGACTCCGCGAGCAGCGCGGCGGCGCGGCGTCGATGTTGGGAAGTCATGATGGAATACCAAAAAAAAGGCTTAGTTCGCTATATCGGCGCCTCAAACTTTTTACCTCGACACTTTGCGGAGATCGAGTCCATACGGAAAACGCTTCAGGAAGGGGAAGGGGAGGGTGATAGCGCGTTCGCGAAGCCCGTCCTCAACCAAATTGAACTCCATCCGCTTTGTCTTCAAGAAGACGTCCTCGCCTACTGCCGAGCGAATGAGATGATTCCACAGCAGTACGCCCCCCTTGGCGAGAACGATGAGCGGCTTGTAAAGCATCCCAAACTGCTTGAACTTCAACAACTTTACTTCCCACAACATACCATCTACGACATGCTCATTATGTGGGGACTCACGCAAGGGTTTTGTACAATTCTTAAAACTGGCCTTGCCGAGCACCACAAGGCGAACTTTCAGGCTGCCATTGACTACTTCGCCTCGGTGAGGCGGCAATCCCAAAGCGGTGAAGACAGAGACGAAAACAACAATGATAAATTATCAAACACGCCTGAAGCGAAGTCGTCGATGACGGCATTGACGCCTCGATTCTTGGATAACAAACAGCTCGAGGTGATTCGAAATCTACGGGAACTCATGAATGTAAAAGAGGATATGCATGTGTGTTGGTACAGCGAACACATTGCCTAAGAAAAGTCTTCTTTACTTAATTTTTTATTATATTTGAAACTCTTGAGTAAATAACATTTAAGAACGCTATTATTCACTGATTACGAAAATTATTATTATTATGGTTAAATTCATCTGTCACTTTTATTAGGGCTTTCATTAAGATATTACGTTCAAACGAATCACTACGTGCTGGATTATCGATTTTATTCCTTTACCTCTTTATAAATGCTCTATACTACCGATTATTTATTTATTTTTGAAGTGGTATCACTAGAATGACGAAAAGCAAGCTCATTACTTCTAATTTATAGTCCCATTAGGATTTTCACCCTTTGGTTTTCCCCTAGTGGTGATTGCAATGCGACGTCGCGGCACCGCCTTTTTGGCTTCTTTTTTACGCCACGCGACTATCCGGCCTGCCCTTTCAAACAACCACGACTCCCGGCCTCAACCCATACACGACAACTTATATAGATTTGCTATTGATTATGATCACAAGGCGATCGTCTCGGACTCGCATTTGAATCCTATCCAATCGATTTTTTTTTCCAAAAGGTACTTTAGTGGGTCGTTTTTGGCACCCCTCATGACCTTTGCCAGCCTTTTTCTACTATTGTATACCTTTCTCTGTCTTGTTGGATCATCGATTGGGGAGTCTTATCACAAGCTGTGGTTTAAGGAACCCCAACAAGAACTCGAGGATGCAGACCAATATTTTTTACCAGAGGACATCGATGCCATGATTCTGGACAGAGAAGAGGAAGATTAAAAATAAAGTTTGCCTATGCATCGTCTTTTCTACCCTAAATACACACACAAATAAACACCAAAATATTTTTTATTTTAATGACTGTGGGAACACTCATCCGAACTAAAGTTTTATGTATTTTACCCACTGCGCCAGAATAAAAAAGACATATTCTGAGCAAACGCTATGGTTTGGTTTTTTCATCACTCGATAGTCGGGTAAACATGGCAATTCTAAACCTACAATGATAATGCTTTCCCTCTTTCGTGAGCTTGGGTGCGACAAAAAACAAACTTTGGATTTACTCAGTACTTTTATTTAACTGAAATGACCTTTTCTCTAACCACCTTTTCTTCACCATTTCACGGCTTCCCAAATCGAGGGCTATCCCGAAGGAAGGCAAGAATACCCAACCCTGTGTTTGAGTCAAAAGAAAAAAAGACCCTTTTCCCGCCAGTTCAGCGCTTCCACTCGACCTCCGCCCCTCCCCTCTAAAAATATAAATAAATAAATAACTATATAGATATATATAGATCTATATCGATATATCTATATATCGATATAATAAAAACGCGAACGCCATAATGACTGATGCCCGTCTCCCCCCCCGCCGCGGGGGCCGGGCGGCGTACGCGGAAAATTGGCCCAAAGTTGTCCTGGCCGTCACCTCGGGCTTTCTTTTTGTCTTCGTCGTGGCCCTTTTCTACGCGATTTTCGTCCTCGTTCGGCCCTACGCGCGGAGCATCGCCGCGAGCGTCTTTTTCTCCGTCCTTCTCCATCCCAAAAACCGACCGCTGCCCTCGCTCAACGTCGACCATTGCATGCGGCGGATGCAGACCATTCAAGGCGTCTGGGCCCGGCGGGGGTCGCGTTTTTATATCCTCGGCTGCTGGCTTTCGCTGATGTATTTTATATCTTTTATGCTCATGCGCTGCGTGATTTTCCTCGGACTGGATAAGCTGCGTCTCCCGCGGCCGCAATGGCATTCCATTGGCCATCGAAGCCCCGCCTCGTCCGGCGCGAAGTTCGGGAAACCGCCTCCCGACGACGATGCCTTCAGCTCAACCCTCAACATTGACTTTTCCGCGCAATCGGCGAGTGAGGCGGCGTCCGTTTTATTGGTCGCCACCACGCGGGGGTGTCTTGTGTTGCGCGGTCTCGCCGCGTGCGTTCTCGCGTTCTTCTTCCACATTTTATTCGGGATTCGCTATTTTGTTCTTGTGCACGTCTTTTTGTTTGGCAGTTTTGCCTTTTTCGTCCTGTTCCTTCCGCAACGCGTTTTTATTGAACAGATGGGGCGGCTGTGGAAGTTGGCGCTGCTTACGATGCTTCTGGTTGGGCTGTTTAATAATATGACGATGGATATTTTGACGATTCGCGATACGGTAAAGCGAACCACAACGTCGGTAGTCCTTGGGAGCAATTTTATCAATCCCGAACACGGGGGGAGTAGTGGTGGGGCGGCCTCCACGACTACACGGCGCGCACCCACTTCCAACCCTGACCTCCCAACGGAGGGAGATATCCGAACGCGGAGTGGTGACGAGGCCCTTGCCCCATTCTCTCCTTCGGCGGATATCCTCAGCTTCTCACAGGGTTCTACAAAAGGTGCGGTCAATTCAACCTGGAAAGACGATCCCACGATTTGGACGAATCCCCACGACTTGTCCTTTGAAGCGGATGCGGTCTCGACCTCGCTCGATGATATTCTGAACCGTATTTATGCCAAACATCGAAACGGGATTCGGGACTTCGCCTACGGCTTTGCGCAGTCCTTTTTACTTCAAAAGTTGGGTGTTATTTTTAACCAAACCAACACCACGGAGCTCGAGGCGGATTTACGACTGTGGCTATCCCAATGGTCCGAAACCCCCGAGAAGGACTCCGGGTTCGATCCTGCCCGATGGAATGCCGTCAACGCGACGACATCGGGCGCGCGGAAATCCCATTCGATGTTTAAAGGCCGCCCTGGCGGGCGGTCTTGGTGGGGCCAACTGCCCTTTCAGCTCTTGAATACTTTTTTGGGCCGCACTAATCGGTCATCGGCCTTCCCTTCCGCGATGGATAACCACCCCCTCGGGGGTTCGACAAACGCATCGGAGGTTCATGGGGAGGACGATCCTTCCACGGGCCCTTCCCCCCCTTCCCTCGAGACTATCCCCTGGTCGGGGATTTTGCGCTTGATGACGCTGCAAATTCTCCCCCTTATTGAGCATTTTGTGAAGATTCTGGTGACGCTTGGGGCGAACTTTCTGAATTTCACTGATACCATTTACGCCTTGATTCTTTCGGTTCTTTTATTTCGCTATTTCACGCAGCTCGAGTACTCCCTGCTGTATTATGCGATTCTGAAGGTTTTGGTGGTGGTGCAGCCCGAGCGCTGCGAGGCTCGCGCCCGCCGCATCGAGCGCGAGATCACGGTATCCTTTACCACCCTTTTGGAGTCGTTTTGGCATCTCATTTGGTACCACTTCGCGATTACCTTTACGATGTTCAAATATTGGGGTCTCCCGACCCCTTTTTTCTGCGGTCTTCTTGCGGTGCTTTTGGTTCTCTTCCCCCTCACCCCCAAGTGGCTGAACCCGTGTTTGATTGCCCTGGTCGTTTTGACAGCCCAGGCCCTTGCGGACGGGGGGATGGTGGGGGTTCTAGGGGATCGCCGCGTTCTCGGCTTCTTCGCCGCCGTTGTGGTGGATTATCGCGATGATTGGCTTTTGCAGGTCACCAAAGGGCCGCGCCGGGATCCGCTGAGCGGTAAACTTCACTACGAAAGTAAACATTTGCCCCCTTTTGTCGTCGGGACGATGGTCGTTCTGGGGTTCGTGGCGTACGGGGCGGTCGGGATATTGTTGGGGCCCTTGACCGCAATTATCGCCAAGGTATTTTTCGATAATTGGGATCTCGAGTTGATGAACTCGCCCTCGCTTCGGGGATCCGTCTTGGACGAGCCCACGAGCCCTGCACAGGAAAAGGATCGCTGAGGATGGGAGTTCCGCTACGCGGCATCCATTTCTCGCCGGCGTGAAAGATGTAAAGGTGGCAGGTCGGCTACATGTGTAAACGCCCTTTTCAAATTCTGTTATCTTTGAATTGTCTACTATTGGACATCTTTTTAAATCTATAATGAACCAAAAGGATTTATACCACAATTCTAGAATTTTTTGGTGTGTATGTAGCTATCTTTATAAAGCGTAAAGGGTGTCCAAATCTTTATTGATTTATGCACTTGTCAGTTTCTCTTTTATCTTTGCTATTCCTACTTAAAGCGCGCCCCCTGAGCTTCGGTGTCGACAAATGATTCCCCCCTCACCCTATAATAAATAAATAAATGTGCTCAACTTTTCACTGCATTTCAAAATGTTGATGTTTTTTTAACCACAATGTCGTGAAATTGCTTACGAGAAGAAGCCCCAAACGCGATAACGAAGACTGTGAATGCACACAGCCTAGTCAACGTTCGTTGTCAGGGAAAAAAACGGGGAGAATGAAAAATAAAGAATATGCTGATAAAAGCGAATCAAGCCAAACCAGAGGAACAATACTTGGTGTTGTTTTGGAATATCACCCTCAATCACTTCGAGGTGCACTCCAGAAACGAGGTGTGCAATCCTCATTGGGGAGGGCGTTCATGTTCCTTTTTGAGATTTATCACATGATTACTTCAAGTTATACAACCGAAGTTATTTCTTCTTAATTTGACATTTGTGTCCATATATATATATAGTAAAATACACATTTAAAATTTTAATTTTCTTCCCTTCAGGTGGAATTTTGATTCAATTAAGTAGATTTTAAGATATAGAAGTTAAGGAACTAAACAAGAACCTAGAGCTTTATAATGAACATTCCACAGCCACGGCACAAGAACCCCCTCATGGAGGAGCTGGATTTTCTCAAGAATGTACAGGAGGACCGCATGTCGTTTCACGCAAGTCTTGCTTGTCATGAACGTTGCGTTGGAAATTACTGGTTAAATAAATTCTACTGGAAAGAAAAATCTTGCATGCAAAATTGCCTAGAAAAGATCAACCAGGCGACGATAATCACAAATTTAAATTATGAAAGATTCCAGCAAATACAGAACAAAAAGTGAAAAGGGTTCATAGCGTAAATTTAACGAAAAAGGTATTATACCATTTCAATTTGAGACCCCTTTCCTCCGTTGTCATTCTTGTAGTGCGCACTGTTGACTTGGTTTTCATGGTAAAAAAAACTGAATAAGCCCTGTCCTTTTGCGATTCTCTGTACGTTTTCCCAATTAATTGATTAAACCTTAATGTGGGATTCCTAATTATACTAATCACAAAAAAAACTTAACACTAAGAAGGCTTGAACCTAACACCATCTTTTGCAAATAGATCCCATTCCAACGATCGCATCCTGTAATCCATGTGTAACCTCAAAATAAAAAAACTCCCCTTTTCCTGTGAAATAGCTTCTGTAACTCAAGATTTTCCCATTTTTTCAATTCCCAAACCAAACCCTATCCTTCAGCCCGTATAACCGCGTCCATTAAATCAGCCCATCCCCTTCAAACCGGGTCT